AACGAGTGGCTGTTTTCATTTCTCTGAATTCCGTGCAAACATTTTCATAAAGTGGCCACTGAACTGTGGGCACAATCCCACCCTCTATTTTTAATTTAATGGTTTATCATAGTCATTTCTTTCTCTCATGACAGTGACTCCTGGCCCGCAACATGGATTGTGTCATCTGAACCCAGTAGTGTCATTTTGTGAGGACAGGCATGGTATGGGTAGAGTTGTATGTTATTAGGAACCAGCAAACTCCTCCCACTGGTTGGAGCCTCTGAGTGCTCAGTGGAGGCTTGTGTGATCATGGAGGCTGGAGGCCGAGGGAATGCAGTTCTTGAAACTGCACTGAAAGACAAATTTTCTTTCCTTTCCAGCAAAGGCCTGGTTGGGGCTTGCCAGGGTTCTAGTGCTTGGACCTGGAGAAAAGTAGAGACCCAGAGACCCCCGAATGTGGAGCTGCACCAATAGCTCTGGGCAGAGGCTTCAGAGGAACAGCTGTGTCACCACTGGACCAGTCAAGATACCTGTGTATGTTCTGTGTGGCCAGGTCTAGGAGCTCAGACAGCCCCTGGCTGACTCTGGCAAGATGAGCGTCTAGAGCAGAATGCTCTGATAGACCTTGGGGATTCCCCGATGTTTTTTGCTCATTTATCCTGACTTCAGTGTCTGCTGCACAGACCATGTCATTTATTTACTGTAGAGTCCCCCTCTGCTTGCTTCCATAAAAGATTTGAAAGATCATACCTACTACACCAGACACAGACGCAGCTTGCGAATTGTATCCGTGTCCCTTTCGTGTGGGCCTGTGTAGTGTGCCATGCGCACGAGGAGCAGGGGAAAGACAAACAAAGCTTAGGAGGGTTGTAAAACGCACAGAAGGAAGCAGGTGAGCACGGCCATTATTTCTGAGCCAGGACACACCAGGAATAAGAAATACACAGTGTACTATTCCTCTGAGGAAATGATGCATGAAGTCAATGTTATTACAGGCCCTGGGGGATACCTCTCCTTATTTGTTAATGTATCTCAGGCAGAAATATGCCAAGGGCTGACAGCGCAGGGTGGAAGAGTTATAATATCCTTTCCCTCCAGGAGCTTCCGCTGTGGAAGTACCTTCACGTTTGCCTAACCAAAGGCCTGCACCATAGTGAACATTCCGTTTCTCCTGTCCGCATGGTCTCTTCATCCCCTTCTTTCCTGGACAGTGTTTAGCACTGGTACACATGTCCAGGATAAATGAAACATCTCCCCTAACCATCTTGACCACTTTGCGTCTTGCCTAAGACACTTGTCTTAACCTCAATTTGGGGACATGGCTCTCATGGCTGAGGTTACCATGTTGGGGAAAAGCTTGTGTTGGAGGATGGACGTGGTGGGTGTTGCTGGTATTTCTTAGGACATTTCTGGAGTGTTGGCACCATGTCTGTGATTGATGGCAAGGAACCCACCCAAGCACAGTGAGATTTTCAGGATCTCCTCAGGGCTAGCTAGCCATGGGGAGCTCCTGCTGTTTGCTCATTGGCCTGGCAGGTTGGGGACTGGCTGTGCTCCCCCTGTTTGGTTCCACTTTGCATTCAGTGCTCCCTGATTACATTTCTCCTCCTTTCACCTGCCGACAGCCGTGTCCCACTTAAGAAAGGAAAGGCAGTTTGCCAAGGACTTGTGTCTAAGGGAACCAGCGACCATGTTGTGCGTGCTCTCTCTCGTTATTTCTCTGTGTGTATTTCTCTCTGTGGTATGTATGTATGTGAGATAGAGAGAGAAAATCTCTCTCTCTGTGTGTGTGTGTGTGTGTGTGTGTGTGTGTGTGTTTCTCTCTGTGGTGTGCATGTATACGACATAGAGATAGAAAACCAAACTGACTTTCTCTCTCACTCCTCTCTCTCATTCTCCCTCTGAGATCAGACTTAGGATATTGCTTCTTCAGTCTTCAATAATAATGCAGTGGCCTGTATCTTGTATTCCCTACTTTTCTGTTGCTATAATAAAACATCATAACTAGGGTAACTTACAGAGAAAAAGGGTTTTATTTGCATTCCAATTACAAAGGGATGCGAGTCCTTCGTGGGGCAGGGAGAGGCGTGCCAGGCAGCTATTCCAGAAGCAGTATCAGGAAGCTGGGCGCTCACACCTTCACGCTGTAAGCACAGGGCAGAGAGAGCAAACTGGAAATAGCTGAGGATCTTTATTCTCAGTCCTGAAGCTGACTCCCGTGACACACTTCCTCCAGCATGTCCGTACCTCCCTGAAACTCCCCAGACAGCGCCATTAACTGGAGAAAAAGTATTCAGATACCCAAGCCCATGGGAAACAATCTCCCTCAACACGCTAAATGGTTCCATTCTGGTAAACGTGTGACGCAAGTGTCATATGTTGTCTGGTCTTCCATGGCTTTGTCTGTGTAGTAACGCAGTGTGTGCCTGTCAGTCATAGCTGTTAAGAATGTGCTCATGACCAGTCTTTCCCTCTAGTTTCACTTCACTTTCATTGTGGGGAGGGTTTAAGTGGCAGGTGATGCCCCTTCCTCTGCAGCCCAGGTATTATCTATACAGCTAGTAAATTTCCATGCCCTGGATTCTGAGAGGGGAGAAGTAACTTTCTCCAGGAAGAACACACCAATTGGTTATCAAGTACCCAGTGAACATCTCTGAAAACATGTATGTACAAAAAACATGCATATAGGCAGGTTATATCTATATATTTAGGAGTGTGTATGTGTGTGCACACATGAGCACACACATGTATTTATGTAACAACCGTTCATGAGAAAAGAGACCATGAATTTAAAAGGAACCAAAGAGGATTATATGGGAGGATTTGGAGTGAGGAAAGGGAAGGGGGGATAATATTTGTCTAAAAATTAAGTGTGTGTATGTGTGTGCGTGTGTGTGTAATAAAGTTATGGTTCTGGTGGGGCATAGTTCTTTTAAATGGTATTTTGATATTTATATTAGTAATGCATGTGATTGTCTTGGGGTACAATGTACAGAAAAAAATGTGACTATATGTGATCTCACAAGTAACCTACTATTTGAGCTAATTTCTAAATTTGGAATAAACTCACTTAAGCATATATGTGTTATATGCATGCACACACACACACACACACACTTGTATGCAGATATATAGTATGGACAGGCATGGTTTTCTTTTTGTTCCTGGCTGGCCACAAGAGACTGAGTCCAGGGTCTTGCCAAATATATTGGACAAATGAGCTGCCCCTAAACAGCATTCTCATCCCTGTTTTAACTGTTTATTTTAGAAAGATTCTCACTACGTGCCTAGCCTGGTTTAGAACTGACCCTACGCTGTGGCCCTTCAACCTGAGCCCCCTGCGTAGCTAAAATATTGGGTCTATGCTACAAGATCCAACTGCTTTATGTATTTATTCTGATAGCCTTTTACTACAAAGTGCTGAAAGTGACCAGATCTATTTATATCTGTGAGGTTTTACTTTTTATCTAAACAGAAAACACTACCTAGCACTCTTAGTTGTAAAGCCAGGGAGTCAAAAGGGTGATTTTCTAGGAATTAAACAACACTGGACTGGTAGAGATGGAGAGGATTTGGATACGGTCCTTCTGTGAAGCACTATGAAAGGGACATTTTGCCTTGGTGTGCCTTCAGCCCTCTCTCCCTTCTGTTGACAACTGAATGTTAACTGGAAGGGTTCATGGAACCGAGCACCCGTTTTTGTAGGTACAATCCAGAATTTTGGAGTAACTACACTCAGAAAGAGCCATTTAAGACACAAGTAGCCTACAGCAATTGTGTTCAATTTTTCACCCCACTTCTTAGAGACAAATGTATCATGTCGAACTTAGTCTCTGCCTATATCCCTTCCCAGAACAGCAAGTCTAAGCTTTTTCCCCCTTTCTGTTATTACTTGGGACATCCTTTTCAGACTAATTCTGAATTCTGCTGTGTCTGGTTTAAATTGACCTGGCTAAAAACCGAACTCGGCCATTAGAATCAAGATGAGCTGTGCTTTTCCAGCGTGTTTAACCTGTCATCTCTTACTCCCTTTAAAGGATTTGGGGAAGATGATCAGAAATGGGTCTTAGCATGGGACCACTTTCCCTTAGCTAAGCTGTATCTCTCTTTCTCTCTTCCTAGTCTTCTTGGTGACTCTTTTGTGTCCTCTTCACAATTTCTCCCACCCTTGACAAACTGTAATTATTTTTTATCAGCACATTTTACACTTCCAGGTTGTTAATAAATACGTTGAAGGAAATTAGTGCTAGATTATTAGCTAAAATCAAATTCTTAAGGCCATGCTATTAACTTCATCAGAGGCTGAGAAATGACCATTGATTTCTGCTCCTGACTTTCCATCCTTAACCAGTTCTTAAAAAAAAAAAACCACGATGGTACTTTATATCATGCTTTACCATGATCACCAAATTTTCCTTTGTAACAATCACCAAATTCTTCTGGAAGCCTCAATTAGAAAATAATTATCACACTCATTTTTCCCTCCAGCTTCCCCCACCCCTTTTTTCCCAGACACTTGCTTACAAAATTCTCTAAGCAAAACAATCACTGTAATATAGAAATAAGCATGTCTTTTTAATAGAAAACATTCTGAAGGTGCTTCATAGCACAATTATTGGCATCCTGTATTCCTAGAATCCCCCCAGGTTGCACATGTTAAAGCCAGGGAAGGTCTATTTTGTGGCAGGCTTCCAAGGGGGTAGTTAATGTGTCCCTGAACCCCCAGCTAAGGAAGCAGAAAAACAGATTTACAGACCTCATGCTTTCCCCAGAGATCTTCAGAGATAAACACAGCCCAGGGCATTTAGAATGTTGAATTTACTATATCTTACAAAGGTTTCTGAAACATCATGTCCACATAATGTGAAATTCTGCAGCAGCCAGCCTGTGTGTCTTTAATCGTTGTCACTTTTTATCTAAGAACATCCTAAACCCAGGTGCCTGGATTTAGAAAAGAGAAATGTTTAGGTTGGAAACAATCTTGGCATGGCTTTATGACAAGTGATATCTCTTTCCAGGCATCAACATGAATTTGACTTGGAACCAAAAGACATTTCCAGGGAGAGATCAGCACAAGCATGGATGCCAGTGCGTGATGCGCTCATCCCGGAAAACAGCAGGGGTGAGAAGGTTGGTGTAGATAGAGTAATAAGTCCCTTAAGTCTCATCAAGGCCTTCCCTGAATCACCCTCTCCCACTGTTTGAAAAACCTAGGGAATGGTAGCTCGCATAAGCTCTTACTTAAAGTCACACTACAAATCTTGCCTCCCACTTCAGACTTGTTTTATTAACCATTTGAATTCATTGCACAGCAGTTATGGTAAAAGTGACTGTTAGTTTCCAGTACTGCAGAGATACCTGAAAGGAACAGCTTAAAGAAAGAATTGGCCTTAGTTCACCGTCTTAGAGATTCTAGTCCTTGGATACACAGTCCCACAATTGGGGGCCTGCAGATGGACTGGCATAGCATCATGATGGAGAAGGCATAGTTCAGAAGTGTGGAATCATTCTCCCAAGTTCGACCTCTGCATGGTGCTACACTGTGAAGAGCTCTTGGGGATATCTCATACACAAACTCCAAACCCAGGTTGCCTAACTTTTGTGTTCTCTTTATGTGAGGACCCTGGCTTTTCTATAGAGCATTAAGGAGGGAATCTGTGCCTCTTTTCAGGGCCTACTGACATGCATATTTCTCAGTCCCTAGCTGATGGGACTGCAAATAACAGTTATCGCTGTGCCCTTACTCACTGGTCTGTCTGTATTTCTCCTGAGGGTCTAAAACTTCCCTTGTAAAATCGCTACGACTCTTTCCAAGGCAAGTCTTTAAGGATGTATAGTCTTCTATTGAAAGAAGAAAGTAACGTAGGAACATTTAAAGATTTGTTTTTATAAATCACTGTAGAATTAGAATGCAAGGCAGCACTGCTGTTGTCTCTGTTGAATCCGGGTGACTCTCACAGATCTTGCCAGAGGTCCCTCTGGAAGTAGTGCAGCTGTCCCTCAGCAGTTCATGGTTACAGTGAACCAAAGTCAACAGCAGCTCTGGAGGTGTCAGGGAGAACTGTTCGGAGTAACGGAAGTCTTCATTACTTCTACCCAAGCCCTAGTTTGGGAAACTGGGTGGTGAGGTACTGAAACCTTAGTTTGCTTACCTTTTGTTTGTACAAGCCCCCTCTCAAATTCTTTGAACCTTAGTTTGCTTACCTTTTGTTTGTACAAGCCCCCTCTCAAATTCTTTGAAGGATTTTATCTGAGCCTTAACCACTCAGCACCCCTAATATCTATTCCAGACTTGGAAAGGTTCATGTTTAGTGACCAGATACTTTTCTCAGGAAGTGAGAGACGGGAGTTAGGAATTAATAATTGCTGCTGGTTCGGCTTCCAGTTCTCTACTTAAGACAAGAGCGTCTCCCTCCTCCACTTCCGTTCCTCTTTTCTCTGTTTCATGAATATCGTTCAGTATGAAACAAAGTTAATGTCAATGTCAGTCCAATGTACAAGTTTAATAAGTTAATCTCACTAACTGGGATTATGACTGGGTGGGTGAGGGTTTTTTTTTTTTTGTCAACTTGACACAAGCAATGAGAGAACATCCAGTGGGGGGAATGACTTCCTCCATTAGACTGACCTATAAGCAAGTCCACGGGTCATTTTCTTGATTAATTATGATGTGTGAGGGCCTTCCGTGTTGTGGTGTAAGAAAGGTGGCTAAGCAAGCCAGGGAGAACGAGCTAGTAAGCAACATTCTTCCGTGGTTCTGTTTAAGTTCCTGCCTCTGGCTTCCTGCTCAGACTTCCCTCGACGACGGACGTCAATAAGGAAGGGTAAGTAAGCTAAGTGAATCATTTTCTCTCCAAGTTGATATTTACCATGGGCTTGAGCACAGGACTAGAACTAGGACAATGACTAATACTGCACACTTTCAGTGGACTTGCTAGATAGACAAGGTTAGAGGGGACACATAGGCATGATTTTAGGTTTAGCTAATGATACATGTCGGTGAAATTAAAATGTTGCTTACCAGGTGATTAATTAAAGTTGTTGATCTTTTTATATACAACTGAGTGGCCAAGGGAAGGGTGTCCCTTGATTGGAGCAAGTTGGAATGAATTCCTACAACAACAAAAGGTGTTTTTAGAACTGTGTGCACTGCCTTATTGTCTCAACAGTCTGTATCCTCATTTACATTGTAAAGCTGAGGAGACATGGTTAGAAACTGCTTAAGAAATCATAGAGAACTCATAGGAAACATTAGTCAAGTCTGCACTAATGTTGTGTTAGAGTCTTGTATGAGACTCCTGATCTTTGCCACGTGGACTTCACTGTGGACCGCTCTTCATGAGACATCCCAAAATGCTGTATTTTGAATAACTCTGAGTAGACATGAAGGGGTAATACACACTTAGTTTCAACCCTTGTGTTTATCAAATGGAGCTTAATACCATCTTTTGCATGAGGCTTCGTGCATTTATGTTATGGATGTTTCTGTTCAGCACTATGTATCTCCCTGTGGTTATAGTTCATCATTGCATGTGATTTCTGAGGCATTGGTGATTTGTTGTATATGTATTATTTGGGACATTTCTGAAAGTTCTCAGACAACATTGCCAGGGTTACAGTGCTATTTATGTCTCATATTTGTTTGTTTTATTTATCTATTTATTCTTTTCTGTCACATGTTCTCAGGAAGAAAGTGCTGATGTTGAGAACATAACCCGATGAGGGTCGGGGAAGTAAACAGTCTGAAAGTTTCAGTTCATGATGGAGAATTGCTTTCATGAATGTGTCTCCTAGGAAATCTAGGATCAATTAGGGCAAGCCTATCACAGTCAGGACAGTGCCTACCTATTTACAGTGATACGAAGGTAACAATCATGGAAGTCAAACAATCTCACATTCATAATCAAACATATGCCTCAGTTATGCATGTATTCATACCTGGTCTTTCTGGTCGTAATTTTTTTTGGGGGGGGAGACACTTTGTGATTGAACATTGCAACCAAAGAAAATTGCCTTCCTCAAGAAATATGCAAGTAGGCTTCTTGTCACATTGGTGAGCAGATCTGTGCTGGTCTAAACTGTGTCTTTTCCCCTGACATTAGTCCAAGATGCTTTCATCAAAATTACTTTGTTTGTTCTCCTAGTTTAATCTTTAAACAGAATCCAGAAGCTCATGAATTCAGTAAATATTGTTTAGCGTACAAGTGTGTCATAAGAAGACATGGTTCATTTTCATTCCTAAATGCTTCTGTGCTTTGATATAACTTATGAAAGGACTTTGTGATATAACTTTGCAGTTTTCAGTGGTGGTGAAGCATTTTGTGCCTGTTTAGACATGGGCTTGCATTGGTTAAAAAGGCATAGCTCATGATAGAATCCTGTGAGTTTTAGACGCATATGGTTCTCTTTCATCTCATAGAGTAATGCAGCTAAAGAATGGCAAGTTATAGTCTTACATTTCTTCTTCTGCCCTCACAAGCAAAATAAAAGAGAAGTTCTATAGGAATGAACAGTAATGTAATTTTATATAATAATTTATAATGCATACATTAAAATCTAATGCAGATATACTGAGCCGCTGAACAGGACTTAACAAATTCAATAAGATTGAAGTCACATCAAGCATCCTTTCTGTTCACAATGTTACAAGCATAGAAATCAGTGACAGGAAGAGGATTGGATATTTGCAAATACATTGGAATAAGCAATACTTTTCTTTTTATAGAAACCAGGTCATAGAATAAATAACAAAGAGGGATAAACATGAATATTAGCACAAATACAAATTGAAACATGACTAACATGCTTATAGTTAGTCATGGACTGCATGCCAAGCAGTCCAAGAAGGAAGTTTATAGTGAAAAGTACCAATGTGAGAAAATGACAAGATCCCCAATGGGCAGCTCTCCTTTATACCTCAAGTAACTAGAGAAAGGAAACAAAGGAATCCCAGAGATTTAGGAAGGAAAGAAGCAACACGTTAGAGCAGAAATAAGTGAAACAGACTAAAACTGCAAAGAGGAATCAGAAAATAGAAGGTGTTTTTAAGGCCCAGTAGAGTTGACAAACACCTCCTAAATTAAGGAAAAGACAATAAAGACCCAGATCAGTCAGAAATCAATGCAGAGACATTGGACCTGATACCACAGATGTACAAAGGCTCTTTGGAGGACAGAGTGAGCGGATACAAGTGAAAATATTGGCATAAGAGAAATGGACAAAACCTGGGCATAGGTATCCTGCCATGATTGGACCACAAACCACCACAGACCACTAATGTGGTAATCAAGAACCTCCTAGCATTGAAAAATCCAGCCCCAAACCAAACCCAGATAGTTTCATAAATAAATTCTACCAAACATTTAAGGAAGAATTAGTACTAATCTTTCTCAAAGTCTAACAAAAATTTGAAGAGGAAGGAATATTTCACACAAATATAACCAGATCAGAACAATACAGGGAAATGAAATTATACTCTCAACTCCTTGTTAAAAAATAGGTGCAAAAAGTCACAGTCAAACACAAACAAAGTGAGTTCAACAGCATATTAGAAAGATCATACATACTATGAACAAATTGAATTTTTTTCAAGATAAAAAGATGGTTCAGCATAAAGAAATCATAAATGTGGTGGACCACATTAAGGGAATGGAGAATAAAATTCATCTGATCATTCCAATAGACATAGAAAATCACTTTACAAATTTTAAAACCCTTTATTGTGGGAAAAAATCCAGATTTACAAGATTGTACCTCAATAAAATGAAATGATATATTATTGTTCCACAGATAATGTTAGATGCCCCAGAGAAAGAGTATGCAAGGGTGTATAATCTTACCACCTCTACCTAAGGAAATTATGCAAAAAAGAGAATGAATTCAAACTATAAACAAGGGTTAAATCATCTAAGTTTGCACGCACCATGATCTTATAAAAATTACCCTAAATATTTTTATTTAAAACTCTTCAACTAACAAATCAATTCAAGTTACAAGATACAAACAACACACAAAAATTATTTATGCCTCCAAAACGTACAACAAACTGCCCAGAAAGGAGATTTAAAAAACGAAGCATTATTTGTGATGGCTTAGGAAAGAATAGATTTGACTAATAAAGTGAAATGTTTGTGTGCTAACAACTATAAAACATGGATAAAACAATTTTTTACATACAAGTAGTATATATCCTGTATTCATGAACTAGTAGAATGACTACTGTTGAAATGTTCATACTGTCTAAAGTGATCTCCAGTCCAAACTATTCCTTATTACAATGTCATTAATATTTTCATAAAAATAAAAAGATCCTAAAATTGTAGGTAACCATTCAGTGTCATGAAAGAGCAGAGCTATCAGAGGAACAAAGCCTGGATCACTCTTCCTGGGCAAACCCTATTACAAATAATTCTGTAAAACCGGTACTGTCATAAAAACAGATACATAGAACAATAGAACAAACACAGTCAAGAGATAATGTCGTATCCATGTGTTCAAACTTTCTTCTGCAAGGGTGCCAAGAATCCACAGTGAGGAAATGACAGTATCTTATAAAGGTATTGGGAAAACTAGATAACCACACTGAGAAGAATGAAATTGGATTTTTATCTCTCTCTATGCACAAAAATCAAACTGAAAATGAACAAAAGACTTACATATGGAGGCTGAAATGGTAAAACTTCTGGAAGAAACCATTGGAAGGAAGAAAGCTCCTTGGCAGTGGCCTTGTCAATGACTTTTTAAAAATTATATCCCACTAAATCCACAAGCAACAGAACCAAAAATGAATGAGTGGGACAAAAAACTTCTGTACAGCAAAGAAAACAGAACATGGTTGATGGAACTGGAGAAACCATTTTCAGTCCACAGATTGTATATTTTAGGAAATATTTTAGGAATATTTAGGAAAGCCTAACAAATAAATACTTCTTGATGAAAACAAAGAGCTCAGTTTAAAATGGGCAAGACATGAATATTTATTAAAAGGCTATGTAACTAGCCAACAAGCAAATGAAAAATGTTCATCACCATTCATCATCAAGGGAGTGCAAATCAAAGCCTCTCGAGTTATCACTTTGCTCATATAAGGATGGCTGTGTTAAACAATGCCAGAGATCATAATCATTGGCCACAGTGGATAAAAGGAACCCCACCACCACCACCACAGTGTAGGAATGTAAAATTATGCAACATCTATAGGAAGTTCATCATACCAAAACTAGAACTATTATATGAAGTAACAAACCCACCTGAGTACCCAGGAAAAAATGGAATTAAGTTCAAGAGGTATCAGCTCGGGCTGGAGAGATGGTTCAGCCATTAAAGGCTAGGCTCACAACCAAAAATATAAGAGGCACCAGCTCATTGCATTATCATTCACAGCAGACAACATAGAAACAAGGCAAAAATCTATGGAGAGATGAATGAGTAGCAAAAAAGCAGTATGCAGTATGCAGAAATGAGCCAGGTACAAACTGCATTATCTCATTTATATGGATTGTGGAATCTAAACCCTGGAACCTACAGATACAGAGTGTAGAGCAGTGGCTGCCAGGTGCTAGGAGTTGGGGAGACTAGGTGATGTTTCTCAAGTCAACTACTAGGAGCCTTTAAAATTTAGATGAATGAATTTGGAGGATTTAATGCACTGTGTGATGACTAGAGCTGAATATACAGTATTGTCAAATTGAAACTTGTGAGGAAGATCTTAACATGTTCCCATCACACCAAACTAGTAATTCTGAGAGATCATAAGAGGGTTGGTTAATTTGATGGTGGTAATGATTTTACTATGTATCAAGTCATCATATCATATATTTTAAAT